CACGTACGACCGGCGTCGTCAAGTGCATCGAAGACAGTTTGTGCAGCCACAAGCGCGGTGGCGACTGGTTCTACCAGTACACGGTCGTCGACGACCTACCCGACGACTTGGGACCGCTTGGCGAGGCTATTGATGGTGGTTACGAGTTGCTAATCAAAAATGAGAAGCAATTTGAGCTTATCCGACCTACTAGTACTGTAGTCTCGAGCTCGCTGTATCGACGGCTACTTAGCAGCGAGCTCTTCGTCCTCAGCTTCGACAAGCTCTGTGCCAAGAAGCCTGACGTGCCGCCTGATTTACAAGCTCCGCACTAGTTGGCGACTACGGAGCTCGGCCCGTTCATGGACGTTCTTGAGCGCCATCGCGGTCTCATTTGCTGCTACTAGTACGGCGGCTTTGCGATGCAGAAGGCCATCGCCTCCGAACGAGCGGCGCTGGAAGACGCGTACCAGAAGAACGAGGCAGTGCGCTCAAGCATCGATAGCTCGCAGGACGAGCCCTTCGAGAAAGTGTGGAAGAACTACTCGACAGTGTATCCGAACCTCTCGATGTTTGCTGCGGGGCTTGCGACCTTACTTCCGTCCACCCACTCAGAGGAAGCCGACTTCTCCATCCTCAAGAACACTAGAAGCGACTCGCGTCGCTCGCTCTCCAACTACGCAATGGAAGTCCCGATGCAGTCCAAGCAATACAAGGAGCTGGAGGCAGCCGTCACCTCGATGCAACGCGCCACGCATCGAATCGCACAGCGGAATGCGACGGTATTTTCATTGATTGCGTAATCATCTTCTCAATATATCTTGAAGTTTGTATACATTTCGGCTCCAAGGAGGATCCAAGGCGGAGCCCAAATGAGGCACGAAAAAGCTTAAGATTGGATGAGGCTAAAAAATCCAAGATTGCAGAGGCCATACGGTATGGCCATCGTGCTGGCCACTGCGTATTAGTAAAGAAGAGCGCAACATAGAATATCTAACGTTAGTCCCGTTCCTTGGTTCAAAATGCGAGACTCGTCATGGATACAAATGCTTTTGGATTGTCAAAAAGCATCTACCAGGCTGGTGTAGTAGCTCCCACTGGGCAAGGACGTGTCCATTTGCTTGTTGGACCGTGCGAGCTGCTGTCGTTCAAGGACAGGCACGCAAGTGGCTCTCGCAACTCTCGCAACGTTGATGGAGAAGAATGTACTGTTGAGATTATGAACCACGTACAGAGGATTGACCCGGCGGTCCTACAATGGACCAGAAACTGATGCGTCGCCGGGTTCGAAGGGCCGACGCTCCTTGACAATGCACTGGCAAGCGAGAGATATAGACTGATATTGACTTCATAGTCCCGATGGTTGTAGACCGTGCGGGTGGACCAGGAGGCAGCCTCGAGAGGTCGGAGGCCATCACTCGAAGGCGGTGACAGAGGAGTCCTGCAACGGATCACACGTGCAATAATCCTGGTAGGAACGTTTATACTGGTAGGAACCCATGGTTACACCAGCCCACAGGGAATTAATGCGGTGTCTCTGTCTGTCTGTCAGTCTGTCTGCTGTCTGTGCAGTATCTTGAGTTAACACGCGACCTTCGCTGCGCTGCGGTGCGCAGACTTTTGTCTAGGCCAACGCGCCGTCGTCGCAAATACCGGTAAACAACGCTTTGCATTTGAAAGTTCATACCAGCTCACCCCGCACGGGACCTGTTGATGTGAAACCGGGCACCGACCGAAATGTCATTTTTGACTCAATCGGTGGTACGTCGCGGGCGCTTGACGCGATCGTGATGCACGGCCTTGTCGTCGTCGTCGTCGTCGTCGTTGGTGCTATTGTTCTGTGCCTTTCGACGCAGTGCATCGGCCAAGATCACGTCCAGCGCCGCAATGCGAGCTCGGTCGTCGGCGTCGACCTGCTGCGCCTTCACATGCGCGGCCAGTTGATCCTCGTCGACGCCACCATGTTGCTGCAACTTGATGACGCAGTCATTCGACCCACGGCGGCCAACGGCCAGCTCGAGGCGGTGCTGGTTGGCGTTGATACATTGGCGTCCTCGATCGCACACCGACTTTCCGAATGGCAAGTGCAATCGCGTCTGTGTGCCGTCGGTCAAGAATGCAGCCAAGCGCGCACACATGTCGCAATGCGCCGCGTCGAGGGCAATGTCGTTGAAGACGTAATCGGTGATGTCGGGACGCGGTGCCCGAGTACGAACACGACCCAAAACAGCAAAGCAGCGCTGCACGACGTGCTCAATTTCGACCACGTGCTGCGGCACAACCTTTTCCAGCAGCGTCGCCAGCGGATAGTAGAGCTCCCGCGTCGGGTCTCGGGCGCCACAGACAAAGTACCGCGTCCTGGGCGCAAAAAGCAAAGTACGACGAAATGTGTCGTCAGCATCCGCGACCGGAGCGTCACGGTCCAGGGCTTCGAACCAGTCGTGCAAGAGCGCCGGCACCTGCGCTGGGTCAACGGTCGCGAGCACTTCAACAGCAAGCAAGCCGGGCTGCACCCACGATTTGTAGCAGCCCGTGTACGTCGGTTGCCAGTCCTTTTCGGACGACAGCGTTGGCGCAAGCGCTGCGACAAGCGCCGCAATGCAAGTGCGCAGATCGTCTGGCAATGGCGACGTCCGTTCTTGCAGCCGCTGCCGCGTTCCCGCCAGCGACGCCGGAAACAAGTGCGTCCAGCACTTTTCAAATGCAGTGGCGTCACACCGGCCGGCTCGCTCCAGCACAGCGACGAGGCTCGCAAAGATGGTGGCTCCAACCGGTTTGTATCGCACGCTGGCGGCATCGAAGAGCGCGAAAGCGATCTCTATGACGTGCACGTACGGGTCCACGACCATCGTTGGCTGGCTTTTCAAAGCCACGGCGAGCGCTTCGGGGACATACAAGAGCACTTTTGCCGGTGGTAGCTTCTTCATCACCGCGAGTAGCGTCGACGATCGGGGCTGACGCATATACAGAAACGCGTCGACAGCGAGAAGCATACTTGGCGGCAAGAAGGCGCTGAGGTAGTTGCCATGGACCGAATGCGGTACATGCTCGTCGAGGTACCAATCGAGGAGGACGATATTGGCTGCAAAGCGACGGAAATCTTCGGGGTCCATGTCGCTGTCTGGGCGGAACCGGGGCCGGCGCAATGCGTGGTCGTAGCAGCCTTTGATAAACTCGCACACAAATGGCTGATCGAGAGGCGGACAGACCGCATCGGTTGTGATGCCCGCAAGGCTTGTGAGAAGGCGCGGCGTGATGTCGCAATCCATGTACTCCCATGACGGAGCTCGAAACGCAGGCGTCCGGTGCCAGCGAGACAGGAGCCCGTGCATCGCGGGTGCGAGTCGCGACCAGCCATACCGCGCGAGGCATGCATGAATCGACGCCGCTGTCTCGCGGAGGGGCATGTCGTAGCGCACAAAAATGGCGTCTCGGAGAAAGACGACCACCAGCTCGAAATCGTCGAGCGCCAAGAGGATGTCGCACATGGTGGTGAGCCCGGATTTCTCGCCAAACCCAACGAGGTCATCGCGCCGGAAGACACCGAGCGCCCCATGGAGAGCATCCCGGCCCGACGGAAGACCCAGAAGCGGCTGGTCCATCGCGTGGTTGGTGATCGCGTTTTGCACGAGCGGGAAGACGACGTCGAGACCGAGGATGCATGCGCGATACCGCTTGAGCCAAAAGACGAGCGCGAATGGAGGGGCCTCGAACGAGTGGTGGTCGATCGGTGTGTTGTCAAACAGAAACGCATCGACGCCGCTGCCCACGACCTTCGCAACGACTTCGGCGGGAACGTTGCACGCGACGTGCGGCGTACACGTGGCGACTTGGTTCTTGAACTTGCGCTCGTACGCATCGTCGTCGTCGTCGTCGTCATCGTCGCTGTACTCGACGTAGTGGCTACGTCTCAGCTGCTTCTCGAACGCAACATCGTCGTCCGACTCGAGTGCAAATGTGACAAGTGCAACGTCGAACAGCTCGGTGGTCAAGAGCGCGTGCACCAAACCCGCTTCGTATGTGCCGAGGGTCTCAAACGTCCAAGGCGTATCCAACGCACACGGAGGGTCGTCCACATCGTAGTACGCAATGCGGTGGTGCGTGTGAAGGGGCCGCTGCGCGACTTGGTGGAAGGCGTCAATGCCGTCCTCTTGGTTGTACGGCATAGGACACATATCCTCATCTTCGTCTTGCCCCACGAGTCGGAAGACGAGCGCCATGCGCACGCCGTGTGTGATGGGCGCAGACGCAGCAACCAAATCTCGGAAGGTCGTGACCATGGCCATGCCGGTCGTGTCTGGCGTCCACTTTTCGGTCGCGTAGCTGTAGGTGAACGCCATGTCGCCGCCATCGTACGACGAGGGCAAGTGTAAGATCATATAGCCAAATGAGTCGGGTGGCATCTCGTTCGGCATGAGTGCAGCGCTGCTGCCGACAGAGTCGACGACGAGATGCGAGAGGACGAGGTCGGCGTCTATGATCACCTGCGCCACTTGTCCACGCAGCACGTTTTTGACGGCTTGGCGCCACTGCTCGGGCTGCGCAAAAGAGAAGGCCGTTGGTAGCACCATGCCGCGATTCACGTCCAGTGCCGCGAGTGCCGCCGCATGCGCCGGTGAGAGCGGCCACGTGACGACGCCATCGATGCCGTCGATGCGAAGCGGCGGCGCGGTGCAGTCCGCGACGAGACTCGTCCGCAAGTGGCCTGACGCGTCGTCAACAGCCTTGCCGCGTCTTCGTAGAGCCGTTTGTCAGCGTCATTGGTGTGACCGAGATATCGCCACGACATTGTCCTTGGCACTGGTTGCGAGCGAAGAAAACCGCTTCGATGCAAGCCAAATATCCTGGTATAATTGTGTAGTAGGAACGTTTCCATGGTGTACAAAATTTGTACCAGAATCCGAGGGGATGAATTCGGCCAACCGATTGGCTATATATTGGGCCATTTTGACGCAGTTGTATTGGTCTAGGTCAATCATATCGTGCCAAATTTGTTCTTTTACGTGCGAATTAGAAACCCCTATTAAGTGCTGTCACATCTCCCGACGCTTGGCTGAAATTCGCGCATCTTTCCGATTAGGTGCGAATGTGAAAGCGCGCGGAGACTGCAGCAAGCGACGACGGCGCGCTGGCCCGGAAAAAGTCTGCGCACCGCAGCACAGCGAAGGTCGAGCGTTGACGTATGTGTCGGCCAACGCACCGAATACCGTTTGACAACGCTTCGTATTCAAAAGTTCCTACCAGCTCACCCCGCACGGGACCTGTTAATACAGCTACAATGGGTCTTCAAACGGCAAGAGCTCGACTTCGGCGCCGGTGCTGGAAATACGGGCAATCGGGAACAACGCACCGTCGTCGCCTGCCTCGACCCGCAGCATCATGGCGAGCGCTGTGCCGTTGATGCGAAACTGGATACAGGATCGGTCGCGGTCGTGACGCACAAGAAGGACGACACTGCCAGCCGGGGTGCTTGGATCGAGGCCGCTCGGTACGCGTTTCGTGAGTTGCGAGTAGACGTCGTAGGTCTCGCAGTTGAAGAAATACCCGCGCGCTGCGCTGGTGTAGCGGTGGATCTGGGGTGAAAACGACTTGAGCGTTGTGAAGCCGACTTCGATCTTGGCGCCGAGCCGGACGCGAACGGCAAACGACCTCTCGCGAGTTGTCGCAAGCACGTTGCTCCAGCCGGTGGTCGTCTGGCGCACAATCGTGTCGCGTTCGCGCAGCTTGAGAAAGACGGAGCACCGGCGCGGGTCCCAACACACGTGGCGGGTGGCGCCACTGGGGGCGCCGACGGCGTCGGTTGAGGACACTCAATCTGAAGGTAGTCGAGCATCTCTCGGAGCTCGGCCTCGTCCGCCTCGGAGAGTCCGTCCATCGGCAAGAAGCCCGTTCGGAGGAGCTTCATGATGCGTGGGAACGTGCTTGGATCCAGGTCCAGAAAGTACTCGCCTACCGAGAATCGTCGTCCGTACCGATTGCCACAGAGAGAAATAGGACGTTCTACCTTTCTCATTTGGCAGCCAGTAGATCCGATGAGAGCATCGCGTCAAAGTAGCTACCAGGTATGCGCAGCAGCGTCTCGCGCGCGGTCGTAAAGAGCGTGCCACCGACGTTGAGTGTGATCGTCTTGGCTGGCGTAGGAAGATGATCGATGGAATCATCTGCGTCTGGCTGGCGTCGATGGTTCTCAGCCTTTAGCTCCGCCAGCAGCTCGAGCTTGGTGTCGATGCGCGCTTCTCGCTCTTGCAGGGCCGCTTCGTGCACCCGCAATGCTTCTTCCTTGGTCGCAACGTCCGACGCAATCGCAGACAGCTCGTCTATGAGCTTGCAGAGCGCATCCGACGGCGTCTCGTCCAGCACCGCCACGGAGGCTTGCAGCGCGGCGCAGCGGGCGGCCAAGGTCAGGCTGTCGACCATCGTGTCAAACGTTGAGATGCGTCCAAGGCTGTCATCCGGATATAGCGGTGATTCCGGATACAGATGGAATCCTGATGCGCACCAACTGCTGCCGGCCCGCGTTATTGATTGATTTCACGGACCTGCTCGACCTGCCTGAGCACGACACGAACGCGCCTTTAGTCGAGTCAATATATTTAGTGCCAAAGAGGTAGATATCGTCCTAACTCGTCGACACCAATCCTTGGTGAATGCACTGTTGCAGCCGAAGAACCAGCCGCGGGACGCACCATTGCGATCGGGCATCGGCATCGCCTCACCGACAGCCGGAAGGAATCCGACTTGGGCTTCGAGACCAAGCTGGAGCCGGACTGCAAATATCATTGCTGGATGCGATGCGACGATGTTGGCCCAGCCAAGGCCTTGGTGCACAGACGACGTCTGTAAGCTGAATCTTCTCGGAGCACCGGCGTGGGTCCCACTGCAGTGGCGCGATCGGTGCGGATGGCTCCGGCGACGTACTCTCAATCTGGATCTGGACATAGTCGAGCATCTCTTGTAGCTCGACCAGTTGTCTCGTCGAGAGTCCATCTTGGTCGAGGTGCGCAGTAGCTACATCACCCGCGGAAAAATGGCTGGATCGAAATAAAAAAGTGCGCGCCTACCGAGGGTCGTCGTCTGCACCAGGTGTCAAGGCGTCGAAAAGATGGTCATTTCACATTACCTTTGTTGTTGGGGCGCCACTGGTCACAGGAGAGCATATATCGCGTCAAAGTAGCTACGAGGCTTGCGCAGCAGCGTCTCGCGCGCGGTCGTAAATAGCGTGCCGCCGACATCGAGTGTGATGATCTCGGTCGACGCAGTGGGCTCGTTGGGAACGCTGCTGTTATTGCACACGCAGCGCTTGTCCGAGAGCTGTGCGAGAAGTGAAAGCGACGTCTCGACTCGCGTCTAGCGCTGCCGTCATGACCACGTCCATCACACGCGTCCATCTCATCGGCAAAGCAGCGCAGCTCATGCGGCAGCGTATCGTCACCGCCGAGAAGCGCTGCCATTGATGCATGCAGCGTCGCGCACGCGCATCCACATCAACCATCCCGATCACCAAGTCGTGAAGCGAAATATCCGGATCGCGCCAGTCCGTTATCCGGATATGTCGTGGCAAAATCCCAGCTCGACTTTAGAAATACAGGAGAGCTGAGGCGCTGAGGTGTCCGGGGGACTATATCAATTCGGCACGAGTAGTCTTGCCCAACTTGAGGCCACAAACTCTACGCTTGAATTCCTGCGTTGTATTAGCGTCATACCGAGCTATATGGTTGCTATGCCGTCAACTCCATGGCGTCGCTACACGGGGAGGAGCTTGACAACCGCATTAGCAGCCACGATACGCACGACAGGGTACAGCACAGCGTCGGCTGGCACGTGGTGCAAACTGGTGGGCACTGGGATGCCGTCAATCGCAAACGAAACGCGCTGCTGCTCCTGATGCAGCGTCGCCTGGAGGAAGATCGGGCGCGGCTTCATATCCACCACGCTGATCGTGCTCGGCTGGTAATGGGAGCTCAAAGCGCCAGTTGCGCAGTCGAAAAACCACCCGCGGCGGTTGTTCGACAGACGAAAGTCGGGCTCTCGAACGAAGTCTTCCAACACCATGAAGCCGACACAGACCTCGCTTCGAAGCGTCACGCGGACGCCAAAGGTCGTCGCTGGCGTCGACGTGAGCACATGATTCCAGCCGTGCTTTTGACTGCGCGCTTGTGTGCCGTCTTCGCCGAGCGTGATGGCCTCGGAGCAATGAAGTGGGTCCCACTGCAATTGGGTCGTCTCCATGAGCGGTGCGGATGGTGCTGGCAGCGGCCACTCGATCTGGAGGTAGTCGAGCATCTCTCGCAGCTCGTCCTCGTCCGCACGTGAGAGCCCACTGACGTTGAGCGTGCCCGTGCGAAGGTACTTGATCACACGTTTAAACGTACTCGCGTCCAAGTCCAGAAAGTACTCGCCTACCGAGAATTGTCGTCAATACCGATTGCCACAGAGAGAAATAGGACGTTCTACCTTTCTCATTTGGCAGCCAGTGATCCGATGAGAGCATCGCGTCAAAGTAGCTGCCTGGCATGCGCAGCAGCGTCTCGCGCGCGGTCGTAAAGAGCGTGCCACCGACGTTGAGTGTGATCGTCTTGGCTGGCGTAGGGAGATGATCGATGGAATCGTCTGCGTCTGGTCGGCGTCGATGGTTCTCAGCCTTTAGCTCCGCCAGCAGCTCGAGCTTGGTGTCGATGCGCGCTTCTCGCTCTTGCAGGGCCGCTTCGTGCAGCCGCAATGCTTCTTCCTTGGTCGCAACGTCCGACGCAATCGCAGACAACTCGTTAACGAGCTTGCAGAGTGCGTCCGACGGCGTCTCGTCCAGCGCCGCCACGGAGGCTTGCAGCGCAGCGCAGCGGGCGGCCAAGGTTCCGTCGACCATCGTGTCAAACTTTGTCAAATGAGTCTGCCAATCCAAGGCTCCGTTGGACACGTCCGGATATGACAGTGACAGGTGCCGGATAAGGTCGGTAAAGATGCGGCGTGCTCGCTCGCCGAGTCGTGAAATGGCTTGTTCATGCGGACGGCGACTTGACGACATTGATGTAGCTGCCAGGCGCATAGAGTACAATGTCCCACCTCGTCGGACACGGTGTCATCGACGCTTCAGCGTGACGCTCTGGCCTAGTTACTCGTCTTGATGCCGCAGGTTTGCCTCTCGATGCTGTCGTCCTCAAACCAAATCCTTGGATTAACGAAACGATCGTATTGTAAGAGTCGCACTACCGCTTTACTCAAGCCACCAAAGAATGACTTACATCATGTAACAAGTACGAGTACCGAGTGGCAGCTAGCAGCAACTATCGTTCTCGTTAAGCCGCTTGGTTCGGCGTTTCCATGACGTGGCAGTCCCAGCGACGCTTGAAACCGTCACAACTTCAACTTGAAACATCAAATTCGTGGTATATACTCGTTTCCAGCCAGTAATGCATCTACACTATCCTACACAAATCAGCGCACACCTGGCTATGCCAAGCCCGCCTGCTGCATGAGCCCGTGGAACGTGCCGCGTTGTTGGAGCAGCGTCGCCGGCGCGTCAAACTCGTCGACCTGGCCTTTCTCGAGCACGAGGATGCGGTCGCAGTGCAAAATGGTCTCGAGGCGGTGCGCAATGACGAGCAGCGTCACGTTGACAAAGCACGTGCGGATCGCGTCCTGGATGAGACGATCGGATGCCACGTCGACGTTGGCCGTCGCTTCGTCCAAAACGACGATCTTGGACTGCCGAAGGAGCGCGCGCGCAATGCAGACGAGCTGGCGCTGGCCCACCGAGAGGTTGGCACCGCGCTCGGACACGTCAAAGTCGAGGCCGCCGAGGCTCTTGATGTACGAGGCCAGCTGCACGTGCTTGAGTGCGGCCCAGAGCGCCGCGTCGTTCGCATCGCCGGACGGATCCAAGTTGAAGCGCAGCGAGCCAGAGAAGAGCACCGGGTCTTGCGGAATGATCGTAAGCTGGGACCGGAGCGACGTCACCGAGATGGACGCAATGTCGACGCCGTCGATCGCAATGACGCCGGCGTCCACCGACACGAGGCGGAAGAGGGCGCTCACAAACGAGCTCTTGCCCGAGCCGGTGCGGCCGCAGACGCCGACCTTGGTGCGGCCGGGAATGACGAGATTGATGTCGCGGAGCACGAGCGGCAGGTCGTGGCGGTAGCGCATACTGACGTTAGTGAGCGTGATGCACGCCTCACTTGGCCACGCCGCGTCGGCTTCCAGCATGGTCCGACTCGTATGAATGTCTTGCTCCTGGACGTCGTCTTCGCCAGGAAGCGAGTCGTAGTGCGCGAGCCGCTCGACGCACGTCATCATGTTGTCCATGTTGTTGTAAAACATGGCGGCTTTCGAGAGGAACGCCGAGAGCTGCGCCGCATATGTGAGCGAGAGGCCGGCGGCGACGACGCCGATCGAGCTCCGGAGACCGATGCAGAGAAAGGCGACGGCGACCACGATGCCGGCCGAGAGCATGTCGAGGCGCATCTGGAACCAGCACCGGCTCAGGTAAAACGTACTAAAATACCGCATGTGCGCGTCCAGTCGGGTTCGGTTCCAGACGACAAATGTCGCTGCGAGCCCAAACGCCCGGATCGTCGTGAGACCGTCGAGCGCTTCGGCCACGAGCGTCACGAGCGGCGACCGCGTCACGAGCTCGAGCCGCTTGAGCGCACCGGATGCCGGGTTGAAGTACGTCTGCGCCTTGTAAAAGAGGAAGCCCATCAACGGGTACAGCAGCAGCACATACGGCGTCGAGAGGCCGCACACCACCAGCACGGCGAGGATCTGGAAGAGAAACTGCAGGAGGAGGTACCCGTAAAACGGGATCTGGCTGTCGAGCGTGTCGAGGTCGGTCGCGAACCGGTTCAGAATGCGTCCGAGCGGCGTCACGTCAAAGAACGTCGGGACGGGCAGCGAGAGCACCTTGCGGAAGAGCCGCGCGTGCAGGTGCAGCGAGCACTTTTGCGCAATGTAGAGCGCAAAGAGGCTGCGGCCGACGACCAATGTCAGCGCACCGAGCATGATGCCGCCGTAGACACCACCGGCGCCGAGGCTCTTGGCGAGCGACGCGGTGGTCGCCCAATGGCCGAGGTACACGTCACCGGCGACGACGCATCCTTGGCACGCGCCGTAACTGAGCACGATGGTGGCGACGACAACGGCGCTGTTCCAGCCGCTCGAGCCAAAGTACGTGGCGTACGTCTGCAGCGACACGGCGCCGTTGACACGGTCTTCGGTTGTCATGAGTGTCGGTCTCGAGGTCTTTGTCTCGTCATCTGCCGTCGCTTGGTTGTCCATTATTGGCGTCGCGTGCTCGGACGACGCTGGCACCACCTTGGTCTCGGTCGCATGCGTCGCCACGAGGTCGGGAAATGCGTCTTGCAGCGCATCAAACGGTCCGTCGCCAACGATGCAGCCGTCGGCCATGACAAGCACACGGTCGGCCAGCGGCAGGAGGTAGTAGTGGCTGTTGAGCACGAGCACCACCGTCTTGCGCTTCAAGAGTCCTTGGATGCCGTCGCGAAAGACGCTGCTGGCGACGTGCACGTCCAATGCGCTGAGCGGGTCGTCGAGAAGGAAGACGTCGGCGTTCGACTTGTAGAGTGCGCGGGCCAGTGACACGCGCGCCTTCTGGCCGCCGCTGAGGTTGATACCGCGCTCGCCAATCTCGGTGGCGTCGCCCGCCGGGAGACTCGCGAGGTCGTGTCGCAGCTGACACGCGTCCAGGACGGCTCCGTACTTGGCGGCGTCGAGATGGTCGCCAAAGAGAATGTTGTTGCGCAGCGTGTCGTGCTGGATCCACGCCTCTTGATTCGCAAACGCGACGTTGGTGGCGACGCGGCGACGACCGTCGACCAACGGCATCTCGCCAAGGAGGGCGTGCACAAGACTCGACTTGCCGCTGCCGACGGGTCCCACGACTATCGTAAGCGACGGCGTCGTCGTCGCAATGGACACGGAGATGCGGTGCAGCGTCGGCGTTTTGTGCCACGCCAGTGTCGCATCGACCAGTGCAATCTCGGTCGTCGTCGGTGGCGAAGCGGTTGTCGCTACCGGCGGCGACGACGACAGCGCCCGAGACGGCCCCCGAGACGACATCCGAGACGACACCCGAGACGACACCCGAGTCGACACCCGAGATGACGGCGGCGGTAATCCCAGTGGCGCCGTCGCGTCGCAGAGCAAGAAGGCATTGACGCGGTCACATGACGCAAACGCATCCGTTGCGTGCATGACGGCGTTGGAGAAGATCATGCACGGGAGGCTCGCCGTGTTCATAAGTGCGAGCACCGTGAACGCCGTCGTCGACTGCATCTCGTGGCCCAAGGCGACGTACGTCAGTAGTGACACGGCCATCGTCACGAGCGGCGCCGCGTACAGTGTGACCGTGTTGACAACGCGCATGACCTGGTACGTGCGAATGAGCTGGAACTCGCGAAGGCGGACGGCGGTGATGTGCGCCTCGAGGTGCGTCTCCCATGCGTAGAGCTTGACGACGCGGATGCCCTGGAGGATCTCGGACATGAGCTTGACGCGCTCGGCCTGGACGACAAGCAGGCGGCGCTTGACGGCACCGACTTGCGATCCCGAGTAGTACCCGGCACCGAGGAATGCGAACATGAGGACGCCCGCGATCGCGCCGACAACGGCGCCGAGCTCGATGCCCATGAGAACCATGATGGCGAGCAGCATCGCAGGCGCAATGATGGCCCAAAAGCCCATCCAGAAGCCAAGCAGCATCTTCTCCGAGTCGACGGTCGTCATTGTCACGACATCACCGGACGTGAGCGACTGCTTGGATGTCCCCGAGAGCTGCAGGGTCTTGAGAAACACAACGTCGATAAAGATGGACTTGACGTTGCAGCCGATCTGCGCGGCCTTGGTCTGAGCATAGTCGCCACAGAGAATCGAGAGAAACGACGACGACGCGAGCAACGCAGCGAGACCGTAGCCGGACGAGACACCCATGCTCGTGGTCACGGGCGTCCCGTCGTCGCCGTCGTGTTGGATGAACTGCACAATCGACTTGATGAGCCACGGTTGGAGCAGGTTGAAGCTAGCAGCGACGACGTTGAGCCCCAAGGTCAAGAGAATCTCGCGCCGGAAGGTTCGCCAGATGGCGTGCGAGAGCTTTGGCGTTGCCTTGGCGATCTCGATCGACCACTGGTGCAGGAACCGGGCCGAGACAACGGCAGCCGTGTCGTTGGCGGGCAGTGGCCAGACGTCGTCTTCTTGGAGCGGTTGCGCGGCGCCCTTGCGGATGAGCGGATCGATCCAGGAGAGCGTCGCCGTCGAGAAGACGTTGGCGTGCTCGAGCGGGTGGAAACGATCGGACGTCCGGACGTACGCCGTCGTCGTCGGCGCTGCGTCGTCGTCGTCCATTCCGTCGGTGGCAATGTGATTGTGACGATGTCATGAGTCGGCGTCATCCGTTCAACCCTTCAAGGTGGGATCCAATCGCAGCGTGCTGTCGCCATCTGTCACACCCATTGCGGTATCGGTTCGCAAGCGTCTGTCGCAGAACCACGGATGTGGCCCGGTATCGGGTCGCCGGCGCATCGGCACGACGCAGGTACCGGTAGCATTCGATTCTTGTGGCGGGCGCCCCGGGTGTGCGGGCTCAGTTGATGCCACGCTCGGTCCACGACAAACCAAAGTGCCGTTTAGAACTTGAGGAAAGGGTATGACTACCCGTACGTAATACATGCGGTGCTTGCTCATCCTTGGGGAAGGCTTGGGTGCTCAACATTAAGGCAACATTAAAAGGCGTTTACAGTTAGGTCCACTACTCTATCCATGGTGAGTTGCGCGCGCCATGGACTAGCAACGCGTTGGTCAGCTCGTCGTTACTGCCAGTT